TCTCTCTTCCCTCCTCCTCCTGCTCCTCCTCTTCCTCTTCCTCCTCCTCCCTCCTCTTCTTACCTCCTTCTGGGCGGATAAACAAACAGGAGTCCATCAGTTGTAGGACAATAAATCCATCCAGCAGCTCTCTAAACAGAGAACAGGAGGAAAATTATGGGAAAAAACTACAAACAAATAAACAAACAAACAAACAAACAACAAATAAAAAACAAGATAAGGAACTTGTAGGTTTTATTGAACCCCTACAATAAGATTAGATGTTTCTTTAACTGACACAGCAGCAGAGAATACAGAGGACAAGAGATCACAATATAAATCACTTATTCACACTATATACAATATTTAAGTAGAATGTTATTATTATATTTGAGCCAGCTTAACTTAAATGAAACTATAACTTCACAATAACAATAGGGATAAAAATACAGTCGATGTATTAAACAAAGGAAATGATTGGATTCCCCACACAGTTAGAACACAGGCAGGGACAAGAAATAAACATGAAATAGAAAGTAAAGCAGAATATAAAGGGAAACAGAATGAGTTAGTCTATTTAAAAGGATTAAAATAAATAAATAAAAGTGATGTAGATTGTTCTCGTGTTTCCTGCGTAAAGTTACAGTCTCAGAGTATATGATCTTCTGTATACACCTTATAAACACTCAGGTGGTATACACAAACTTATTGACAGTGCTGTGGTCTGCGTTGTTGTTTTGTCCTATTAATTACTGTAAAAGGGTTTAATAAGGTTTAGGAGTGGCCGATATGATCCTTTTCTTTTATGTTTTGCTATTTGATAAAGACCCAAACAGTTAAAGTTTAAAGTTAAATGGCACAGAACTTTATTTCTGATTCAACAAACCCTGGAGGAGGATTTACTTTATTTATTGGGTTTGTTTTTGGAGATCGCATTGTAATATAATTTATTATTTCACTTTTTAATTGTCGTGTAGCAATAACAATAAGTGACGTAATCATTTAGGGTGCCTAAAGGTCGGGCCTTCATAAAGTCAGGATTTTCTGAGTCTTCGTTGCTAGGAACTATAATGATTCCTGTTTAATGTAATGTCCGCCTCTGAAGCAGCGGCCACCAGTCTCTAATTAAAATTAAATTAAATTAAACTTGTCGGTGGGGGGAACACAGGCCATTGCTTTCTGTCGGGGTTGTTTCACAGGCGATCCCAGTAATTGTGGATGAATCCCACCGGTCCCCTGGGAAAGCAGCACGGTGCTCAGCCTGTTTCCGGTTGTCTCCGCGGCTTGCGTTTGTGGTTGTCAGTGAAACAGACTCAGCTGTTCAGCAATAAACTGTTATTAACTTTATTACTTTATTTAACTTTATTCAACTTTAGAAGCCGCGGGCAGCAGGCTTCGGGCGATGCACGCGCTACTGGCGGCGGTGGTGTCGGCGCGGGGAGGCGTCGCGTGGAGGAGGTGAGCGGACGTGATGACACCCCCCTGAATGTCACTGGGGGACCGCCCAGTTGCATGCTGGGTCCAGAGAGTACCCTACGTTGTACTTAAATAAGCTGCAGCTATCCGGAGTAAAAGTACTCGGATACTTTCCACCTGAAATAAAGAAGTCGGTACTTCCTGGTTCAGGAGCTGGTTGCTTAGTCAACGGCGACTTCCAGGAGTTACCGGACTGGTTGAACAGATGCTTAATTGGGCGTGTTGCTGTCTGCTGCTGTGTGTGTGTGGTGTCTTCTGTGGGTGTCTCTGTGTGTCTGGTGTGGTGTGTCTGGTCTGTGGTGGTGTGTCTGTGTGTGTTGTGGGGCCCGCCACGTGTGTGTCCTGGTGGTGGTGTGTTTGTGGTGTGTGTGTGTGCTGTGTGGTGTGTGTGGTGTGTGTGTCTTGTGTGATGTGTGTGTGTGTGTCTTGTGTGTGTCTGCTGGTGTTGTGTGGGTGTTGTGTGTGGTGTGTGTGTTGTGTTTGTGTGTCTCTGGTGTTGGTGTGTGTTGTCTCTTGTTCTGTCTGGTGTGTGGTTGTGGGTGTTTGTGTTGTTGGTGTGTGTGTGTGGGTGTTCTCTGTGGTGTTCTGTGTTCTGTCTGTGTGTGTCTGTGTGTGTGTGTGTGTGGTGTGTGTGTGTGTGTGTTGTGTGTTCTGTGTGTCGTGTTGTGGTCTGTCTGGTGTGTGTCTGGGTTGTGTGCTTGTGTGTCTGGCTCTGTGTGTGGTTGGTGTGTGGTGGTGTCTCTGTGTGGTGTGTGGTGTGGTGTTCTCTGTGTGTCTGTGTGTGTGGTTGTGTGTTGGTGTGTGTGTGGTGTGCTGTGTGTGTCTCTGGGTGTGTGCTGTGTCTGTGGTGTGTCTGTGTGTGTGTGTGTGGTGTTGTGTGGTCTGTCGTGTGTGTGGTGTGTGTCTGTCTGTGTGTGTCTTGTGTGTGGTTGTGTTGTCTGTGTGGTCTGCTGTGTGTGTGTTGTGTGTGTCTGGTGTGGTGTGTGTGTGGTCTGGTGTGGTGGTGTGTGTGTGTGTGTCTGTGTGTGTGTGTGTTGTGTGTCTGTGTGTGTCTGTGTGTGGTGTGTGTCTGTCTGGGTTGTGTGTGTGTGTGTGTGGGTGTCTGTGGTGTGTTGGTGGTGTGGTGTGTGTGGTGTCTGGTGTGGTGTGTGTGTCTGTCTGTGTGTGTCTGTGGTGTGTGGTGTGTGTCTGCTTCTGTGTGTGTGGGTTGTGTCTGTCTGTTGGTGTCTGTGGTGTGGTTGTGGTGTGGTGTCTGGTGGTGTGTGTGTGGGTGTGTGTCTGTGTGTGTGGTGGTGTGTGTGTGTGGTCTGTGTGTGTGTGTGGTGGCTGTGTCTGTGTGTGTGTGGTGGTGTGTGTGTGTCTGTTGTGCTGTCTGTGTGCTGTGGTCTGTGTGCTGTCTGTGTGTGTGTGTGTGTGGTGTGTCTGTGGTGTGTCTGTGGTGTGTGTGTGTGTGTTTGGTGTGTGTGTGTGTCTCTGTGTGTGTTTGTGTGTGGTGTGTCTGTGTGTGTTGTGTTAGTGTGTGTGTGTGTGTGGTGTGCCTGTGTGTGTGTGTGTGTGTGTGGTCTCTGGGGTTGTGGTGTGTCTCTGCTGTGTGTGTCTGGTGCTGTGTGTGGTGGTGTGTGTGTGTGTGGTGTGTCTCTGTGTGTGTGTGTGTGGTCTGTGGTGGTGTGTGGTGGTGGGTGTGTGTTGTGGTGTGGGTGGTGTGTGTGGTGTGGTCTTCTGTGTGGTGTTGCTGTGTGTGTGTGTTCTGTGGTGTGTCTGTTGGTGTGTGTGGTGTTGTGTCGTGTGGTGTTGTGGTGGGTGTGTTGTTGTGTGTGTGTGGTGGTGTGTGGTGTCTCTGTGTGCTGGTGTGGTGTTGTGTGTGTGGTCTGTGGGTGTGTGTGGTGGGTTGTGGGGTCTGTGTGTGTCTGTGTTGGTGGTGTGTGTGTGTTGTGTTCTTGTTGTGTGTGTGGTGTGTTGTGGTGTGTCTGTGTGTGTCTGTGTGTGTCTCTGTGTTGTGTGTGCCTGCTGTGGTGTGTGTGGTGTGTGGTGCCTGCGTGTGTCTGTGTTTGTGTGTCTGTGTGCTGTCTGTGTTGTGCTCTGTGGTGTGTGTGTGGTCTTGGTGTGGTGTGGTGTGTGTGTGTGTGTGTGTCTCTGTGTGGTGTGTCTGGTCTGTTGGTGTGTTGTGTGTTCTGTGGTGGTGTGTGTGGTGTGTGTGTGTGTGTGTGTGTTAGACTTCCATGTGGCGGCGCCCGTGGCGACCTTCAACCTGAGGAAAGTTGAGCTAACTCCTCTCGAGCAGCGTAAACTGACCTTCGACTCTCACGCCATGGCGACGGAGCTGGAGAGCAGCGGTGAGTCGTCAAAGAGGCCCCCGCCCCATTATTATTCCCTAACTTTAATCCTTAATATCATTTAGAGGGAGTTTTATATAAACTCACAGTTAAATTATCTCTAGAGACCAACAGGCTGTAAACATGTTTATTTTAATCTGAGGCGTTATGGAGACTCCTGCTGGAGCCAGCCTCTAGTGGCCGTTAGAGGAACTGCAGCCTTTGGTTCAGGACTTCTGTGTGTTGTTTTAGAGACGAGGTCGTTCTGTGTTGCAGGTTTTGAGAAGCGTCAGGCGGAGCTGATCGTTTCGGCTCTGGTCACTCTGACGACAGCGAACATGGACATCGTTTATAAAGACATGGTGACCAAAGCCCATCAGGTAGGACGCCAGAGAACACACGATCCATGATACACAGTTATTCACTTTATTTAATCAGGTAGAGAACGGATGAAATCATCTGAAAAAAATACAATATTAGTCTAATTTAGTGACAATATTTCATCTCCCAGTGAGCTGGTTTTTATTCATTTTGAGGTTTATAAGATTAAAACATAATCACAGCAGCAAAGATCAATAACAACTGAACCGAATAAACATTTAGAAATAGTTTGAACATTTGCATCGATGACGCTGAGCTTTGTTGATGCTAAAATGCTCCGATGTATTAATCTCAAAACATATCGATTTTATATTTTGAAAATATCAGAAATGGATTCAGCGTCCTCAATAGCCCAAAACCTCCTTTATTGTCCCAAACAGCCAATCAGCTGCTGAGATATCGTCCATAAGCTGATTATTAATGCTAATGATGCTAATGATGCTAATTGTCCAACATATGCAGCTTAGCATCAGTCAGTGTAACAGCCAGAATGAACATTAACCTTAAACTTTAAACTCAACAGTTCTGGTTCATATTGCTGCAGGTCGACTGTATTTCTCTCTGAGCTGTAACAGAGTAACAGAGTACTGTAGTGCAGTAGTCCTCAGTTTGACGCTGCAGTGTCTGGCAGGAGATCGCGGTGCAGCAGATTATGGCTCATCTGGACTCCATCAGGAAGGACATGGTGATCCTGGAGAAGAGCGAGTTCGCTAACCTTCGCTCTGAGAACACGGTAAGACCACATTTCTGTAATCACGTTCATGATTTTGGCGCCCACTGTGGACAGGAGCAGTAGTGTGGGGCCGATGATGATCATCTGTCACAGGTGAGTTTGAGGAAGTTGACCTGCATCAGTGATGTGGTTCCAGTGAGAGTCAGAGAGTCAGAGTTCATTGGTTGTGATGGAAAGGTAGAGCTGGACATCATCAGCGTAGAGGTGGTTCCTCCAGAGGACACAGACGTGTACAATCAGAAACTATATACAGTGAAATAAAATCACAAATATCTTTACCAAAAGAACAAGAACGGGAAAAATAAATGACAGAAACCTGAGCGTCACTTCCTGGTGTAGTTTATAAGTTTATTATAAAAGTCTCTTTACTTCCTGTAGAAAATGAAGCGGGAGCTGGAGCAGCTGCACAACCGACTGAAGGTGAGTTTGATTAAAGAGAGATATTAAATGATGGTTTAATGTGTCGGAGGATGTACTCTATGTCTGATTCAATGTTTCACATTAATTGATGGTTAATGTTAATAAGAGTGGATTAATGGAAGGGTTATTAATACTTTCTGTAGCAACCATCTGTAGTTTCACACCGTTTTCTTTTGTTCAGGAGGAGAGTCTGAAAGTCCGAGCAGAAACCAAACTGGACATCAACCTGGAGCGCAGCAGAGTCTCTGACATGGTACACACAAAGCAACCATCAGTACACAGGACTCAACCTGACAGCTTATATAATGACAGGATATATGTTAACAGTTATTGTAACGGACAGAGCGCTGGGTCTGTGAAGGGTGTTAAACCTGCATTCTATGTAAAGCCATCAGGGGGAGCAAACTTGTCAAACATGCTGTCAGATAATGGATCCAGATTCTGTTGTTGACATTTCTCTCCTCAGATCTGTTTAGCTGTTTATCTGGAATACAATTATAATAACATGTGTGAGCAAGAGAGCAGCCATTGTTTCCATGACAACATAAACTTCCTGATTTTGTGTTTTTCTGTCAGTTTACTGAACAAGAGAAGAAGCTGATGGAGGCCAGTACAGAGTTCCACCACAGGGTAAATAATACTGATTTATTACTGTTATAATAATGTTATAATACTGTTATCAATTGTTTATAAATAATGTTATAATGAATGTTATATTGTTATAATAATGTTGTATACGTTATATTACTGTTATGATGTTTATTAATATATGTTGTACATGTTACACATACTGTTATAAATAATGTTATAATACTGTTATAAATGTTATAATACTGCTGAATAATAAATGTTATAATAGCTGTTATAAATGAATGTTTAGAGTAGATACTGTTATAAAAATGTTGTAATGTTATACATCAGCTTTTTTTTCTTGTGTGTTAAATACATAATGTTGTGTAATGTTATAGATACTGTTTAAATGTTACTAATACTGTTATTAAAGTAATGTTATAATACTGTTATAAATACTGTTATGCAGCTGTTACTAATACTGTTTAATAAAAATGGTTGTAATGTTAATACATAACTGTTTATATTGTTATAATAATGTTTACTAAAATGTTATATTGTTATAATAATGTTGTATCATGTTATACTTCAGCTGGTTATGATGTTATAATAATGTTGTAATGTTATAAATACTGTTATACATAATGTTATAATACTGTTATTAATGTTTATAATACTGCTATAGATATATGTTATAATACTCGTTATGCACCCAATAATGTTATTACATACTGTAACAAAATGTTTGTAAATGTATATTAATACTGTTTATAATAATGTGTAATGTTATAATAGCTGTTATAATGTTATAATACTGTTATAATAATGTTTATTATACTGTTATAATACTGTTATACTGTATAATGCCACTGTTATAAAAATGTTGTAATGTTTATAATACCTTGTTATCAATTAATGGTTATAATACTGTTATAATAACCTGTTGTAATACTGTTATACTTACTGTTAGATGTTATAATAATGTTAATAACCGTTAATAATACTGTTATAGAACAATGTTATCAGATAATGTTAGTAATAATGTTGTATACCCTGTTAATTAGCTGTATGATGTTAATATAATGTATAAAATGTTAGTAATCACCTGTTATAATAATGTTACTCAATAATGTTCTAATACGTTATGAATACTGTTATACTGTTATTACATCAAATGTTATAATCACTGTTATCAAAAATGTTTGGTAAAATGTTATCAAATGAAAAACTGTTCATAAGTTATGAATACTGTTATAGATAATGTTATAAAATACTGTTCATACTGGTTATAATACTGTTATTAAAAATGTTTGTAATGGTATTATAACTGTTATAGATAGAATGTATAATATACTGTTATAATACTGTTATCACCGTTTATATATCCAATGTTATAGTATACTGTTATAAAAATGTTGTAATGTTATAATACTGTATAAATGTTATAATATGTTATAAAATGTTATAATACTGTGT